TCAATCTTAATAAGTCTCTTATGATTTCTCTTTCCTGTTTACCTCTTCATGTTCCACTTGAGTCCTGTATTTGAAAGTCAAATTTTCTATTCAGCTCTGGTCTTTTCATCAAGAATGCTTGAAAGTCCTCTATTTCACTGAATGACCATTTTTTCCCCTGAAGGATTATACTCAGTTTTGCTGGGTAGGTGATTCTTGGTTGTAATCCTATCTCCTTTGCCCTCCGGAATATTATATTCCATGCCCTGTGGTCCTTTAATGTAGAAGCTGCTAAATCTTGTGTTATCCTGATTGTGTTTCCACAGTACTTGAACTGTTTCCTTCTGGCAGCTTGTAATATTTTCTCCTTGACCTGGGAACTCTGGAATTTGGCTACAATATTCCTAGGAGTTTTCCTTTGGGGATCTCTTTCAGGAGGAGATCTGTGGATTCTTTCAATTTCTATTTTGCCCTCTGGTTCTAATATATCAGGGCAGTTTTCCTTGATAATTTCTTGAAAGATGATGTCTAGGCTCTTTTTTTGATCATGGCTTTCAGATAGTCCAATAATTTTTAAATTCTCTCTCCTGGATCTATTTTCCAGGTCAGTTGTTTTTCCAATGAGATATTTCACATTGTTTTCTAATTTTTCATTCTTTTGGATTTGTTTACTGTGTCTTGATTTCTCATAAAGTCACTATCTTCCAATTGCTCTATTCTAATTTTTAAGGAAGTATTTTCTTCAGTAATCTTTTGGACTTCCTTTTCCATTTGGCCAATTTTCTTTTTAGGGCATTTTTCTCCTCATTGGCTTTTTGGACCTCTTTTGCCATTTGGGTTAGGCTATTTTTTAAGGTGTTATTTTCTTCAGTATTTTTTGGGTCTCCTTTAGCAAGCTGTTGACTTGTTTTTCATGATTTTCTTGCATCACTCTCATTTCTCTTCCCAGTTTTTCCTCTACTTCCCTTACTTGCTTCTCAAAATCCCTTTTGAGCTCTTCCAAGGCCTGGGACTGATTCATATTTTTCTTGGAGGCTTTGGATGTAGGAGCTTTGACTTTGTTGTCTTCTTCTGGTTGTATATTTTGATCTTCTTTTTCACCAAAGTAAGATAATATAGTCTGACTCTTTTTGCGCTGCTTGCTCATGATCCCAGCCAATTACTTGAGTTTTAAACTCTTTGTTAAGAGTCTGCTTCCAATGTGGAGAATGTATTGTCCCAAGCTTCAGGGGTTTGTATAGCTGTTTTCAGAGATACTTGTAGGGCCCTGTAAATTTTCAGTTCTTCCAAGGTGGTATGATAAGGGGTGAGGTGTTTACTCCTTTCCTGGCCTGTGACCACAAGTATTCCTTTCTGTCCTGTAACTGTGAGGAAGGGTTCCTCTCCACAGCCACTCCAAGCTCCACCACGCCAGCATTTCTCCCCACCCCAGCACCGCTGCCCAGAACTATGACCCAGATCCAAACAGGGGCAAAGCAAGAGATTCCTGCCTCAGCACTGGCAAAGAGATCTCTGCAATTCTTCTCTGATCAGCCACTGAATTCCCCCTCAGTCTGTGGGCTGGAAGCTTGGGAAGCAGCTGCCCCCCCAGGGCCACGCTCTTGGGGAATGGAGCTGAAACCCCATCTTCCTGTCTCAGAACCGACAGAAACACTTTTCCCACTGACTTTCTAAGTTGTCTTTGGCATTGGTGGATTGAGGAGTCTGGGAACCTCCACAGTTGCCCAAGATTCAGTCCTCTGAGGCCTGCTGCAGGTTTGCTGCAGCCTGCTACGCTGTGCTGCGCTCCCAGTCTGGCGCAATACACCTTTCTGATCAATCATCCAAGTTGTCTTGGCCTGGAAATTTGTTTCACTCTGTCTTTTTGTGGGTTCTGCTGCTTCAGAATTTGTTTAGAGCCATTTTTTATGAGTATTTGGAGGGGTTTGGGGAAGAGCTCAAGCAGGTCACTGTTTTCACTCCACCATCTTGGCTCCGCCGATTCCTCTTTAAATTTTGATGGTTCCAGGAGGGTACATGAAGCCTTCCCAGATACTCCAGGCCACAATGACCTGTGATGTCTCTGAATTCAGAGCTCTTATGTGTAGTCTATTAGTCTGGTTATTAACCATGCACTGTCTAGTGATAGCCTTCACAATGCTGCAAAAGGAGCACTGAAAGTGCTGTAGTGGAAAGAAAACTGGACGTGGAGACAGGACACCTGGACTTGAAGCCTGGCTCCAACAATGTCTGACCCTAGACAAGTCACTTAACCTCTTAGGGCTTCAGTTTCCTCTTCCGCTAAATGGGAGTAATAACACTTCAAGTATCTGCTTCACAGAGTGGCTGTGAACAAAGCATTTTGCAGCTTGCCTTCTCAATGGACGTAGAGAGGGTGGGGAGGGAGGAAAGGAGAGGATTTGCAACTCAAAATTTTAAAAACAAATGTTAAAAATTCTTTTTACATGTAACTGGGGAAAAATAAAAAACTAAACAAATACAAAAAACCCCAAAGCATTTTGCAAACTTGAAAGTGGTGAAAGTGAAATAAACATTGACATTAAAAAAAAAACACATTTCATATAGCATGGTATAGTAGATACTATACCATGGACCATGGACCTGGAAGGAGGAAGAGCTGTATTCAAATCCCATTTCAGACACTATGCAACCCTGAGCATGTTGTTTAACTTCTATGAGCCTCAGTTTCCTCATCAGTCAAATGGTGATAATCACAGTACCAACATCATAGGATTGTTATGAGGATCAAATGAGAAAACGTATGTAAAATACTTTGTAAACCTTAAAGTGCTATAAACATGCTTCTATCAATTTATGTTCACTAGGTTAGGAAGCTGGACTCCTCACATACATAGTGGGAATTTGAAATATATTCTACTGCAAATGATGATTAGTTAATATAATACTATTAATGATATAGTTCTTATTACATAGATGGACCATTGTGCACTTATCCTGAAAACCTACCTGCCTTTAATTGTGGCTCACATTTTGTCCCCATCCAGACAATTTTGCTGTCTCTGTGAACATTTGAAACCACATCACAAACAACACGCCCACAATAATTTTTTTCTTTAAAAAAAAACTTTTTAAAAAATTCTGAACAAAAAGATAAAATGAGAATTATTTATATGTGAATTGATGGTATTTTTAAAATTAATTAATTATTTATTTTTAGTTTTCAACATTCATTTCCATAAGATTTTGAGTTCCAAATTTTCTCCCCATCTCTCTCCTACCCTACCCCAAGACAGTGTGCATTCTGAATACCACTTCCACTAATCTGCCCTCCCTTCTATAACGCCCCCTTTCTCTTTTATTTTCCTGTAGGGCAGGATAGATTTCTATACTCCATTGCCTCTATAGCTTATTTCCCAATTGCATGTAGCAACAATTTTTAATATCTGTTTTTAAAGCTTTGGGTTCCAAATTCTCTCCCTTCCTCCCTTCCCACCCACCCTTATTGAGGAGGCAAGCAACTCAATACAGGTTATACATGTGTAGTCATGCAAAAACACTTCCATAGTAGTCATTTTGTAAAAAAAACTAACTATATTTCCCTTCATCCTATCCCATCCCCTGTTTATTCTATTCTCTCTTTTGACTCTGTCTCTCAATTGAGGGTATTGTTGATGAAAGTATTGGTATAGAACAAGTAGGTTTTTTGAAATTGACATTCAAATACAGAATGCATCTTTACCATTTTACAGCTCTAGAAGGGTCAGGTGCATCAACTCATGCAAAAAAATTTATCTTTGAAGGAATTCTTTGATTCTGGTTCCTCTAATGAGAAATGAATGATATAGACAGGGAGTGGGAACCTGCAGCCTCAGGGCCACATGTGGCCTTCCAGGTCTTCCTGTAGGGCCTTTTGACTGAGTCCAAGTTTTACAGAACAAATCCTTTTATTAAGGGGATTTGTTCTGTGAAGTTTGGATTCAGCCAAAAGGCCCTAGCGGAGAACCTAGAAGGCCACATGTGGCCTTGAGAACACAGATTCCACACCCCTGATATAGATCTACATTGTAGATACTATAAGATCCCACTATGTTTTTTGTTTCTTGTTTGTGGGAGAAAAACCATATGATTTTGTAGAACAAAATATTGCCTTAAGGTTCTTTTTCAATAAAGTGTCATCCATATATACATTCAAGATTCTTTGAAATATATAACAATAGGAATCACCCTATGTAACAACCCTTTTATCAGAAACATCAATGAGGCACAAAACAGGGAAATGTATGCTCAACCATAGTGTTCATTGCTGTGACGGAGGAAAACTCGTGCTTTGATCCATTGCACCACCTGGCTGCCCCTTATTTTTTAATCTCTTGCCATCTGGCTACAACCCTACATCTCAGTGGAAATTGTTTTCTTCCAGGCAACCTACTCCAAGGCAGCTAGGGGGAATAATGGATAGCCTGCTGGACCTGGACTCAAAAAAACCCGAGTTCAAATCCAGTCTCACACACTTACTTGTAGTGATCCTGGGCCGTTCACTTAACCTCTGCCTCAGTTTCCTCATCTGTAATGTGGGGATAAAAACAACACCTACCTTATAGGGTTGTGGTGAGAATAAATGAGACAATATTTGTACAGCACTTTACAAACCTAAAATGCTGTATAATCCTAGCTGTTATTATTAGTATTATTTCCTGACTGTTAAACTGAACGGCTTCTTAACAGCATCTGATGCTGCTGACCCTTCCATCCTCCCAGATACTCTCTTCTTGCTAGGTTTTTGTGACACTGCTGTCTCGCTGCCCAGTTTTCTCCGCTGGATTATTCTACACATGCCATCAGGTAACTGATTAACTTGAAGAAATGCAGTTCCGCGGGGACAAGCCAACGAGGATCTAGGACAGAGCGCTAGCTAGCTACCTGCATCACAGCTGTTGGAAGCACCTTCCCCCGGACTCCGGCCTTCTGGCCCTGGGCATGCTCAGTGGAGTGGCTAAGTAGTGGAAATTGGCCCCCGCCTACCTTGGCTACGCGCGAGTGTAAAGCGCAGGCGCGAGTGCCCTGGGAAGCCCTGGAGTTCTCGCTCAGCTTGTGGGTAAGAGGGCTGAGCTTGAGTGCACGACTTCTTGGCTTGGAGAGAAGATGGAGAGGTCCAAGCTGGAGAAATTCAGGAGTCCGAGCAGGGGGAACGGACTCCGGGCTCTGGTTCCGCTGCGGCCCGGGGAGCTGCTCTTCAGGTCGGAGCCCTTGGCTTACACTGTGTGCAAAGGGAGCCGGGGCTTAGTGTGCGAGCGCTGCCTGTGCAGGTACGGGGCAAGCTTGCTAACCTGTGTGTGTGAGCGCCGCACACATCACGAAGGATGCCGTGGCGGGGGGTCGGTGGGGGCAGAAGGGTGGAGGCTGGAAGGGGCGCCGAGTCCTGGAGGTGGGAGGCGGCAAGGAGCTGGCCCTGTACAAGGACGGCGGGAGAGGGGGACTAGATCCCAGCTACCAGGCTGGCGGCGGGACCACCTTTCACGTCCCGAGCCCTGGGCGCCAGCCCACGTGTTTAAAGGATTGCCATGGAAGGACGTGCGTGCTTGGGAACACACCTCTCCAACTCTGGCCTGTCTGCCCTTGTCTCCCGTGTACCCAGGTCCTTGTTCTTCCTTACCCGCAAGGCAGGGAGAAGGAGATGCCTGAAGGCGGGCAGGCTTTGGGAGGTTGATTTCACCTGGGGAAGGGAGCGGAGACACCTTAGGCTGGCAAGTGACGGGGGCGGGAATTAGGTAAACAGACCCACCCCGAAGGAGGAGCGGGCGCTGCGGATTGGGGGAGAGCCACTGGAGAAGCTTTCTGATTTGGGCAAGTAGGCTTGGGGAGGGAAAAAAAGCCCGTGCGTGGAAGGAAGTGCCGGCAGTAGTGCTTGCCTAGGCTGGGCTGCTGTGGAAGAGAGAGAGAGAGTGTTCACGTGCACTTGAGTTAACATTTGACATCCAACACTTAACCTCTGTTTGCCTTAGTTTCCTCATCTGTAAAATGAGGATAAAAATAGCACATAGTAAGCGCTATATAAATGTTAACTATTATATACATTTATACACGTACATGCAACATATACAATGTGCCCCAAAAGTCTCGGTGCAGGTTTAATCTCTTAAAGCTTAAAACTTGCATAATAGAGTATATACCGTCATAGTTTATTTATCTGTGTATACTCACATGCATAGACACACACATAGAATAACGGGTAGTTGATAGAGAGCTAGCTAGCCTTTGGGGCCAGGAGGACTTAGGTTATAAGTCTCACTTCTGCTGCACACTGCCTATGGGACTGATCGTGAGAGATGAAGTACTTGGTAACTTAGTTAAAATTAAAAGCCTATTAGGAGGCAAAGTAAATATTTGTATGAAGTGACTTGCCCAGGGTCACACAGCTAGTAAAGAGTGAGCCTAAAGTTTAGACCTCCCTCTAAGCTAAGACTATAAATTGCAGAATTGAAAGTCTTCAACTGTAAATTGCAAGGAAGGTGCCACTTGCACTGGTAGAGAGAGTTTCCTCATAGTAATGAAAACACAAGTTCAATCCCAATATATGTACATTAATTATTTAGATCCTAAGATCATAGAGTGTTGGAAGGGACCTTAGAGGTCATTTAGTCCACCTCTCATTTTACAGATGAGGAAACTGAGGCCGAGAGAGACTAAGTGATTTGCTTAAAACTGCACCACTAGTAAATGACAAAATTGGGATTTGAGCTGAGGTTCTCTGACTTTAAATCTAAAGCTTTTTCCACTGTATTGTTCTGCCTCTCAGTTTTTTTTTTTTAATTTTTGTTTGAGGAAGTCCTACTGTGTACCTCTTTCTACCACTGCTGGATGAACTATTCACCTGCAACTCACACTCTTGGAGAGTTGCCTGAGTTAAGTGATTTACCCATAGTCACACAGAATGTAACAAAGGATAGATTTGAACCCAGATCTTCCTGGGTTCCCATTAGTTATGCTGCTCTGACTCCTGCCTATCTTTCCAGACTGATTACTTGTTATCCTCTCTCATGACCCCCTAGGCTCCAGCAAAAGTGACCTACTGTCTCTTCCCAGTAGTTTGACATTCCATTTCATGTCCCTCCCCCTCTGCCCCGACTTTATTCAGACTTTCCATGCTTTGGAATGCTTTCTCTTCACTCCATCTATAGGAACCCCTAAATACCCTTCCAGGCACAGTTAAGTGTCACCTCTTCTAAATATATATATATATATATTTTAGGCAGTTGGGGTTAAGTGATTTGTCCAGGATCACACAGCTAGTAAGTGTCAAGTGTTTGGTCTGAGGTCGGATTTGAACTCAGGTCCTCCTGACGTCAGGGCCAGTGCTCTATCCACTGCGTCACCTAGCTGCCCCTAAGTTTCAGTTTCTGGGCAAGTAAAATGAGGGCATTGGGCTAGGTGACTTCTAAGATTCCTTCCAACTCTAATTCTGTGGTCCTTTTTGCCTCTCTAGCGGGACAGAGACATACAGTATGTGTTAGCTTGTGTATATATATTAGGTCTAAAACACACTTGGAAGTTTTTGTTTCTAACCATAAAGAGGTGGGAATGCTGTCTCCCAAATACTCACCTTGTCCCATAATTGACTTGTAATTTAAATTTTGAAGTGCTAAGCAGTAGTAACCAGTTGTTTTCTTGAAATGGAGATAAATTGTACAAGCATGTTGTATTTCTGATCGGAAAACAAATTGCTTTCTTTTCATGCCTTGGTTTAGATGGACAGCAAGCACTTGCAGCCCTGGAAATTTAAGGAAACATGAATTTTAAAATACCTACTGTGTGCAAAGCCCTGAGGATACAAAGAAAAGAAAAAGAAACACTCCTTGTTCTCCAGGTGCTTGCATTCTATGAGGGGGAAGGAATACCTACGTATATGTTAGTAAGTGCAAAGTAATTTCAGGAATGGAGAGAATGCTGGGAATTGGGAGGATCAAGGTAGACTTTTTGTTAGGAAGGCCACTTGAGCTGTGTCCTGAAGTAAGCTTGGGGATTTTAGGAGGTAGAGGTTAAGGAAGTGGTAAATTTCGAAAATAGAGGACCTGAAAAAGGCACCGAGTCTCACAGGAGACTCAGTGTCCTATACAGGGAACTAGAAGGCCTGTTTGCTTGGAAAGTGAAGTAAGACTAGAAAGATAGGTAGGAGTGAGATTATGGAAGATTTTATTTTCAGGGTGAAGATTAATCCTTTTCCCCCTACAGGCAATTGTTGTTGTTGTGTGCCTTTCGTTCTTGAAGAGGACCATGACATCAGGGAGGTGATGCCATGATGTGCAAGTGAATTAGATTTAAGTGAGAGAGAGCTATGCAGAATCACCAGCCTCACTTTCTCCTCTGAAGCCATCTGGGTCCAGTGCAAGGTATAGATCAGGACGACTGGAGATGGCCCTCCTAGAGTGAATAGAGGGGTTTTTTTGGTTTTGTTTTGTTTTTTGCATTTTGGTGAGTTAATCAGGGTTAAGTGACTTGCCCAGGGTCACACAGCTAGTAAGTGTCATGTCCAGTGTGTGAGGCTTCCTCCTGACTCCAAGGCCGGAGCTCTATCCACTGTGCAACCCAGCTGCACCAATAGAGAACTTTAAAAAATATTTTTCATGAGGAGGAGGGGGAATAATATGATCAGGTTTGTGTTTTAGGAATAACTGTTTGGAGTTATTTGGAGGGTGGATTGGAGAGGGGAGAGGCTAGGTGACTGGATTAGAAGCTACTGCAGTTAGGATATTTTATTGATTTCTGAGCGACTTATAAGAGATAGAGGTGACATTTGGGGTTCTCTCCTTATTAAATCATCAGGGTAGTAACCTACTATTTACATGTAATCCAAAATGAAAAACTCGCCATTGTCTGAAAATTCTCTGTTTTTCTTTGTAGAATATATGGATCATGTTGCAGATAAAAATCAGCCTGGCAAATTATTTAGGACCTGGAACAAAAGTCTCCTGGAATTAATAAACGATGATGAATGAGTAGGTAGATTATCAGAGATCAGGACTTGAATGATCTGAATTGTCTGCTTTCCCAAATGAGTCCATAGCAGGTCTCATCAGTTTTTGAACTGATTCCTTTCGAGTGTACTGGAGAGCATCCTTTTTATTAACAAATGTCAGGGTGCATCCTGTATTGGTGCTTTATGCAGTAAGTATTTAGAGAATTGCTTTTATGGCATTTGAAGGAAAGGTTCCTGTACCTAGGTTCCAGTATTGGTAGTTGTAAAATTATTAGCTGCAGGGGATTCACTGGAAATAAGTATTAAAGGAGAATTTTGGAAAAATTAGAGGTTTGGAAATTACTTATATAGGGTCAGAAGACCTGGCTGGTTTCAAGCCTCAGCTTGTACTTAGTATTTATGAGACCATCCCTAATTCATTTAGCCTCTGAAGCTCAGTTTCCTCATCTGTAAAACAGAGGTAACGGTACTCACATTACATCATAATGGGGTGGTCATTAAGAATGCTCTTGTGCAGCTGTATGTGAACATGAGTCGCTTTTTTTTCCTCTGAGATGTTACTAATAATAAATAATAAGCCTAGCAGGAGGGTGAAGAAAAAAAAATATGTGTCTGTGCCTTAAAGCAATTCAGAATTGTGACAATTGTAACACATTAAAAAGTGCAGAGTTGAGTGAGTGTAAATTGGGATCTAGGCAGGATAGGAGAGAGTGGTTGATTTGGATTCAATTAAAATCCTGCTTCATATTCTTACTAGCAGTGTGACCCTGAGCAAATCACTTAACCTTTGTTTGCCTCAGTTTCCTTATTCACAAAATGGGTATAGTAACAGCACCTACCTCCAAGTGTGGTGAAGATCAAATGAGATCCTATGTAAATGCTTTGCAAACCTTAATTGACTATATATATATAAATGCTAGCTGCTATTATTATTGTTATTATCTTGTTGGGTGCAGGGAATGCTAAGTACAGGAATGAACCTTCATATTGGGTTAGTCATGAAAGACTTTCTAGGAAGAGGAGGAAGTGGGGTATGGTATGATGTTTTGAGACCTGTTTTGGAAGGGACATGGATTGGTAGGGAGATAAAATATTACACATTCACCAAAGATTTATTAAATGCCTACTATATACTGTGCTGGGTGTGCTAAGGATCTAAAATGGGGTGGGGGGGTGAGGCAATCCTAGATTGTCAAATTGCTTACAGTTTAATGGGTGGATATGATTCATACACAAAGATTTTTTTTTTCTCTTTTTTTTTTTCACAAAGATTTTCTAAAGCAGACTTGGCCCAAAATAATCACAGTAGCCTTGAAAATCTAATAGTTTTTA